CTCACAGTAATCTGTCAAGAGCCTACCTGCCCCAACGATGCCCCTCTCGGAGCTCTACCGCCACAGCCTGATCTCTCCCGGGAGACCCCTCAAAAGCAGCAACTCATCCAGCACAAGAATGAGGCCAAAGCCAGTTGGCCCAGTTCTCGCTGGCAAGGCAGCACCTCCACACTGGGGACCTGGGGCCCCACAGGTGGCCCGCGCCATACAGACCCCCAGCTCAGGGGCCCCCTCGGTCCCCTCTGCAAAGCAAAGTGCAGCAGGGCCCAGGCTTTGTGACCTGGGGCAGGTCCCTGGGCAACTCCGGGGCGCACCTCATGTTGGCGTTTCTGGCAATGGGAGTCTGGGGCAGCTCTGCAGAGCTGGCACCAGTCTGGGCCACGGAGTTGGGGCTGTCCCGGGATGGGTTCTGGGAACGTCTGACAGGACCCCAACTCCTTTTCCAGCTGGGGTAAAAGAGCTTTTCCTCTGAGGGGTCTCCAGGCATGGGCCCCCGAAACACCTAAGAGGGACAATGCCCTCCCCTTGTGTCTCAAGAACTGACCCGAAGTTTAGGCGACCATCCCAAACAATTCCGAGCCCATCGCGAGCGTGGGGGCGCAGCCAATTCCGGTGGCCGTGCAGGCCCCCAGGAGCATTTCCGGTGACCCAGACCCAGAGGGTCCTCCCCACAGGAAGACCTGACTCCCCCTACACTGTGAGACCCCTCCTTCAGGGCCACAACCCAGGCCACGGGGCTCTGCAGCTGCAGCCCAGCCCCGCGACTTTGGAAGTGATATTTGACCCCAAGGGCGCGCCGTATCGATCCGCGCGGCCGCAGACAATGGCTCGGACGCAGCGGGCCGCACGGGCCAAGTTCCACGCCCGACTCCCGCGGGGCGTCCGGCCGCCGGTCCCCCGATAAGGGCCGAGCACGGTCCCACTCCTGACAGCACCCGCCCCTCGGCGCGCGCCAGGACCCCTCCCCGGCCGGAAGCGGCAAGGAGGAGGAGCCAGGCGCGAGCCCCGGGGCCACCTGGAGGGGGGCGCGCAGAGCTGGGGCCGACCGTGTCCCCGCGAGGCTGGGCGCGGAGGTCAGCGCCAGGCCCAAGGTGACCGCGCGCGCAGGCTCACCGGCAGGTGTAGCTGAGGTTGCGGCGGATGCTGCGCTTGAAGAAGCTCTTGCAGCCCTCGCAGGTGAAGACACCGTAGTGCTTGCCGCTCGACTTGTCCCCGCACACCACGCAGTCCACCTGCAACCCCGTCCGCTCCTCCTCGCCGGGCTCCGCGTCGCTGGCAGCCCCGGGGGGCGAGGCCGAATCCTCCTCAGCCGCTCGCGGGTAGCCGCCCGCCTTATCCACGCCATTTGCGTCGCCGCCGGGCCCGGCCCAGCCGCCGGTCACCATGGCCATAGCCCCCCGGGCGGGCGGCGGGGCTGGAGCGCCCCCTGCTCGCGCCTCCCTGCGGACGGCTTCCCGGGGGTGCGGGGAACAGGGCGAGCGACGGGGCGGGGGGCGGCACGGCCGCACCCCCGAGAAAAGTTTTGCAGCAACTTCCTGCGGCCGGTCCGCGCGCCGGGCGGAACTGGTCGGGCCGGTTCCAGGCCAACTTTCCCACGCGCGCGCCGGGCCGGCGGGGGGGCGGGC